AGGAATACCAAAATCTGCGCGAGCGATGGCGAGTGCTGGTACAAAAAGGACAGAACATCGGTGATCTTGGCTACGTCACTGGTATGGTAAGGAAGGATGTCCTCAGAACGGACAGACATCACAAGTTTTACGGTGGTTCGGACGACAATCAGAACACGGCGAGTCTCTTTAATATTCTGACGACGTATGCCTTAAATCACCCAAGTGTAAGTTACTGCCAGGGTATGAGCGATTTGGCTTCACCTCTTCTCGTTACGATGCGGGATGAGGCGCAGGCTTACATCTGTCTCTGTGCCCTTATGAGAAGATTGAAGGATAACTTCATGCTTGATGGTATCGCTATGACTACCAAATTCGCTCATCTTGCAGAAGGTAGATCACTATTTAAAATGTCTTGCAATTTATTTTCTCTAAGTTTCATTCTTGTTCTATAATTTACATTTTCATTTTAATATATTCCCATCTTTATAATACTTTTTGATAATGCCATTATATTGATATTAAATTATATTTCCTTACAGGTCTTCAACATTATGATCCTGATTTCTATGCATATTTAAAATCGCATCAGGCGGACGATCTACTTTTTTGTTATCGTTGGCTATTATTAGAAATGAAACGTGAGTTTGCGTTGGACGACGCACTTCGAATGCTCGAGGTTCTATGGGCAGCTTTACCAGCGTCACCGCCGACTAATGAACTGAGTCTTGCCGAAGTGCCTTTTCCGCCAGCATCGCCACCGCCGAGTCCAAATGTGAAGCACATCCGCGAGAACGCGTATACTAAGGTCTGCGCTATTAGACGACAAAGTTCCTCAGCCAGTATTGCCGCTAGCGTGAGGCGAAAGGCCTTCAGTACCGAAGAACCGAGTTTGAAATCATCTACTGAGGTTAACGGAGAAACGAAAAGGTTTCTTGTTTACATAATTGTGTTTGTACTTAAAATCAGTTTTCGAAACTTTGCTTTTCAGATAAAATATGAAATTTAAACAAAATAGAAGAGGTCCAAAAGAAATACAAAAAATGAAAAATATTTATAGACAAACAATAATTTTCCGATTCTTTTTTTTTGCATTGTTAATTAAAGTTTATTTAATAAATGGCAATTTTTATTTTTCTAATCAAATGCCTATTTTCAGATCCAACTCACCGTATGAAGCATTCTCCGATTCAGAAAATGATTTAACCAGCACGAAAAATAGAAGAAATAATGAATCGACAGAAAAGTGCCTAAGTACTGATTCTCTTCCAGTTAAATCGAAACGCGCAAATCTTTTGGAATTGAAAGAAAGACTGAGTACTCCTAACAAAGAACAGACTAAAAACAGTGAACAAAATGATAATTCTGGTGAAAAGAAATGTGCGCGAGTGGTAAAGAATTTAAATGAGTTCTTAAATTTCACCAGTCTCAATCGTAGTAAAGTCACGCCCAGCGACGCCGAACCTGAACTCAGGTAATTACTTTCGCAGAAAATATGTATTTGTAGCTCAAGATATTCTTGCACATGTGTCATAAAATTAAAGCGATTCAAAATTATTACACTTCATCATCGTAGACGTGTCTCGAGCGAAAGCGGCGTCATCAGAGTGTTGAGAGATGAACCGAGCTCGCCAGACGATCCCACAGATTTTTTCCCGATGACTACGTCGATGACTAGAGAATTAAGACTAGAATTGGAATCGTTAGACCGACAAGTATTTGGACCTTCACCGCCTAGTGAGCTACAATGCGATTGTGTGCTTTCAAAAAGAGAAAGTGATTTACCAGAGAGTGAGACAGAAACAGAATTGGCGAGATGCAGTCCAGCGGCGGATGTGTTCGTTTGGGAAAATCCTTTACACACGTTACAACAAAAGCATCACCCCACGACTCCGGATGAGCAGGCGGAATTGGAATACGACGGCGAAATTTTGGAGGATCAGAATGGCGTGAAATCCGTTACACCGATTAGGTTGCTCAAACGTACTACTAGGTACACATTTTCATTTACAAAGATTTATAGATTTGAAAATCTTAATGAGAGCAAAATTTATAAGAATTTACAAACTTCTGTTAAAAGTTGAGCTCGAAAAAAACATTTCTAAATTAAAAGTATCTTTGAGATTTTATTTTCTAATAAATTTTATCTATCTTCTTTACTTTTTTTAATATAATGCTTTCAAAGTATCGATGAAAAATATCTTTATTCATTTTATATTTATATATCTCCTTTATACTCCTTTCACTGAAGTAATAAATACATGATAAAATTCTATTATTGTAACTATACAGAATAATTCATATTTCTCCATAAATTTGCAAAGTCAAAGATTCTATCGGCATCTTTAAAATTTCAAAGAAATTTTAGTACCTAATTATAGAAAAATGTGTTTCTCTATATTATTTTTATTGAAACGCTTCGTTTATCTTTCAGATCTGAATCGGCATCAGATAGCGAAGGAACTGAGAGTTGGCATCAGAACCCATCTATACCAGAAAGTCCAACAAAACAACAACAACAACAACAACAACAACAACAACAACAACAACAATCTGTACAAGAGCAATGCGAAGAAGTGACAGAGTTGACTAATCTTATACCTGCAGGAACAAGCGAGGACCAACTGGGCGAAAACTCATTGCCGCCACCACACGAATTCGGTGGCGGCAATCCCTTTTTAATGTTCCTGTGCATCACTCTTCTGCTGCAACATCGGGATTTTGTTATGCGCAATCAAATGGATTATAACGAAATGGCGATGCATTTTGACAAGATGGTTCGCCGTCACAATGTGATCCGTGTACTTAATCAGGCGCGGCAACTATTTGCCGGTTATCTCAGGAGACATTCTGTCGCTTCGTCCTCTTCAACCGGTTTGACTTCTGCCAGCAAGGCGGACTGCGTGAACGTGTAACTCAACTTTAAAAAAACGTCAAATTATAATTTGAGATTTCAGAATTATTTCATTTAAAATAAATAAGATTCAAACGGCATATATCATGGATATTATGTTGTCGAAAATGTTAAAATTCAGAAGACTTAAGAGGAGTAATTCTGTTGGTGCTCTTCCGCGCTCCCAACATACGTGCAACATTTATGACATTCGTTATACATCGTTATTCACAGTTGTATCGCACGAGGAGTGTTTCTGATTAACCATTCTTTCCTTCGTATTTCTTTTTCTTTTGGTATATAATAAAATAGATTTTTTTCAATAAAATAATTGAATTAAAATTATCTAAATCCAAACAACGAATAAGTGACCAATGCAAAAGCAATAAAAGCAACGTATTTACAATTATATATAGAAATTTTAGAACTTTTTCCATAAAAACAATTTTTCAAGATAAATCGAATAAAGAAGAAAAGACGATTGATCAGAGACAAAACCACCTAGGCCCGTACTTATTAGCAGTTAAGATTCGTTGGGAAAGTTAGGGATACAACGATCTGAAGCGCTTTAGTTAATTCGCGAACGACATGCGTAGCCTCGTTCGCTCACGCACGTTATCATTCCATCGCGACGTAATGCACTCCATCATCCGCACGCATTGACGAATCCTCTTTCGCTGTACCTCGAGATAGAATTAAGCCCTTAGCTTAATGCATTCGAGCGACGACGGCGTTGCGCGTTCTCGAATGCGTTAAATTTGTAAAATATATCTATATCTATCCTAGCAGCTGAGTTTTACTTTGTTCTCAAATAGTACGTTTGAGAAACGACAATAAAGTGCATTTAATTTTATCGCTGATTATAAACCTTTTGTATCATTGAATCTACACCCGCTATTCAAATTACAAAAATATTTTAAGATAGTCTTCTGATAACAAGTGTGTAAAAAAGTTTCGTTCGTTGAATAATTAAATGCGCTTAAATCTATAGTAATATCTACACCATTTAAACAATGTTAAATTGCTGAAGGCATATATCTCGTAAAAAATAATTTTTTTATTAATTAATGATATTTTATGATATATAGGACATATAATAATTAGTAAACAAGTTTAAAATTTATTTTTTTATAGTTACATCTCTTCTATATTTATTTTTAAAATATGAATTCTTTTATTTATGAAGTGTATATTTTATCTTGTTTGTAGTTAAAAATATATAATATCTACATATATTATGTACAATACCAATGAAATATCATCTATAATGGTAGAAAATTAAAAGGCCACTAGTGCATTAATAATACTTTTCCACTTGTAAAAGTAAGATGAATTCAATATTTGCAGTAATATCTAAATATATATAACAAGTAATATCCTATTATACTATTCAAATATGAATAAATTTTACAAACATTTTTTGTTAATGAAAGATTGTAATTTTTCTCAAATAGTCAATTTTAACTTTGTCAAAAATTAAAAAGGTTATAAAATTAGGATAATTATTTATTAAATATCCAAATATGATAAATTTGTATTATAATTATTATAAATTTCATTCAATTTAAAAATATATCGTTTCTATTTTTGTTTTATTTATAGTACATACAATGCAGAACATACAAGCGTTACGTGTACAAGATCGAGTCAATAAGACAAAGATTTAATACAAAAAGTGCATGTACATATATTAAGATGCATTCCATTTCATGCATAATTCGCATGATGTGCCTTTTTATATATTTTTTTTTAAATTTAGTGAACACAAAGATAAAGTAATTCATCATGCAATGAAACAGAACGCTCTCCACAGAGCATGCATACGTGACTCTACTGCATGCGCGGTTCACTACATTATACATATGTGATATGATTCAGATTATCATAACCTCAATACTCGTGACAAATTTCATCATCCGGTGATCTTTTACAAAGAAAAAAAAAATTCTACGATTAATCTTTCAGTCCGTGAGGATAATTATGTTTATGATTCCATTACTATGATTCATTTTAATGTACTCGTATTACAATTGAGAAATATTGAGAAATTTCCACTTTCAAGAAATCGCGCCTGCGACTTGCAAGCGCACTGCGCATTCTCAATAGTCTCAGTTCCGATCGCGCTTGCGCTTACAAATTGCAATCAGTCGTAATTTGTCGTAATTTCATTTCATGTGTTCTCGCACATCTGACCGCGTGATTCTCAATTTCTCGCACATTCTCACATGCGCCGTTCGACTGCTCTGATCCAGCGTGCGTTGTGAAACAATCACATCATTATTGCGTCATGTGAGTAAATTGCAGTAAAATTATTTTCTTCGTGATCCCTTGGAACCTTCAAAATTTCATCGTGAAACATTTCCATGTAAACGGGAATTCAACGTCATGATGACAACATACATATGACGTAGAAATAACGTGTTTCTGTTTTGTCCATGCAGAACTGTCAGAAAACCGCAGGAAACGCGAAAAAACGAGAATTAAAAGAACAAGATGTTGGTAGCGAAGATCTGTCGGGCTGGGGTTTCGCCAGGTTTGGCGTCACTCGTCCGAACTCCGATCGTCCCGACGACGCCGCAATTCTCCAAGGGTCAGATCGCGAGATTATTCGTCAGCGATGGACGTAGCTCTTACACGAGAACTGCAAGGAGGAGAGCCACTGTGGTGGAGCAAGCGACGGCCCCAGCTGGCGAAACAGGTAAGACGAATATTTTTATTAGATTTTATCAAGTGATAATTGATTGCCATGTATATGTACATAGTATCGGCGAACTTGAAAGAAATCCTTGAGAATTAGCTCCTTAGGATTATATTAGCTACATTTATATAGTTCTATTTTGTGAGACTATGTTGTTGTTTTGTAGCATTTAATGTTGGGAAAGCAGCAGTCGCTGGAGGAGCACTGATGGGGTTAGGTGGTCTTTGTTATTATGGATTAGGTCTTTCTTCACAAACGGGTGCCATAGATCATGCACAGTAAGTAACTTGTTTTTTTTCTAATGGATAATTTCTACAATAAGTTATTACCTAAATTTTAAGTCTTGAATTATATAAGACATTAATCGATCACAGTCGAATGTGAGAATATTATGATTGATCAATTTTTTAAGATTTAAAGCTTAGTTAGATAATAAGATATTGTAGAAAACCCATAATAGTGAATTGGTTTGCACTACGTTGAATTAATGCACATTAAGCCCATTCTACAGTAGTCTTTTCATATTTAACAATAATGGATCAATTCTTATAATTATATATAATCATTTACAACTATGATTATGTAATTGTAGAATGAATTTTAAGGACTGCTTTATATGCAGTATCTAAATACAGCGACGTAATTTAATCAATTTTGATAATGAAATAATACATATAGAGTGAATGTTAATATATCTCTGTACTCTTTTATCATGAGAAGTGAGTTATTGACTGTACTTCTTTTCAGTTTATTTGAAAGATTTTATAAATTCAAAGAAAGAATTTAAAAAAGTAAATTCTTTTTGAGTTTATAATGACCATCTGTGCTATTTCAGCATGTATGTGCAATCTAAGCGACAGCCATTTATGCTGCACCATTTAGAATAGTTTAGATGCTGCAGTCGATAACTCATTTTCTATAATAAAAGATATAGACATGCATTAATATTCATCCTATATATGTGTGATGTATTCTATTAAATAACATGATAATATAATATTTAATTGTATTTAATTGTAAATATTTATATGCTTTTACATTTAACTAATTTCACGTATAATATAATGATTTTAGTGCATTAATCTAGTGTAATACAAGTGACTGAATTTGCTATAAAAGTTCTTAATCGTTTTGATACAATTTTCAAATGTATATGCATAGAATTTTTTACTATTTGTACTCAGAGTTTAAACAGCAGTTTATTTGTATCATAAAGGATCCTGCACATTTCTTATGGATTTTGGTTCTCGATCAAATCTTTTCATATTTTGGGAAATTGTAGTTCCAGACTAAGATTCTAATTAAAAGTATCAATGGGCGCGACCTCCTAAAATATAAATATTATAAAAAAGTTCATCTAGGTATTTTTTTCAAACTGTAGGATCATGTGAGATCGAGATATTTATATCGCCCAATATCCGAAATAATAAAATTAACTAAGTTTGAACAATTATATCTCGAAAATTGTTAATTTTAGAAGATCGCGCCCATTGACACTTTTAATCAGGACACTTGGAACTACAATTTCCCAAAATATGAGAAGATTTGACCGAAAATCAAAATCCATAAGAAACGTGCTTTCTATTCTATTAATTGAATTCTAATTGAATTCAACTTGGCAAGATAAAATAAAACCTAGAATTATTTTTTTCCACACAGCTTATGGCCGCAATACGTTAAAGACAGAGTGAAGTCCACTTACACATACTTTGGTGCGTCCATTGCGGCTAGCGCAGCGTCTGCGGCTATGTGCCTACGTTCTCCTGTTGTAATGAACATGATAATGCGTCAGGGATGGGTCGCTATAGGTGTATCATTGGCTGCAATGATTGGCAGTGGCATGATTGTACAAGGACTTCCATATAAGGAAGGATTCAATAGCAAACATATGGCTTGGCTAGTACATACTGGAATTTTGGGCGCCGTTGTAGCACCGTTGACTCTTTTGGGTGGACCATTGGTTATTCGAGCTGCTTGGTACACCGCTGGGATAGTCGGTGGTTTATCAGCGATTGCCGTTTGTGCGCCCAGCGACAAGTTTCTGGCAATGGGCGGTCCGCTTGCTATTGGTTTAGGCGTAGTGTTTGCCAGCTCGCTTGGTTCTATGTTCCTTCCACCTACGACTGCTCTTGGATCCGGATTATATTCTGTAGCTCTTTATGGCGGTCTCCTACTATTTTCCGGATTCTTGCTCTACGACACGCAAAAAATCATCAAACAAGCGGAAACTTATCCAATGTACAATATTCATGATAGGCCATACGATCCAATAAATAAGTAAGTAATCAGAAAAAGTAATCCTGAATAGGAAAGATTGTTATTAAATAAAATGTTGATTTTTCTCATCTCATAGAAAAATTTAATAATGTGTTTCAAAGAAATTATAATGTTTGTGAGTAATGAATATTTTACAGTATTTCTTTTTTAAATATTAAACACAAGAGGAATTATCTGGTGTTACCCAGGTAATAGTGTCAGGAATTTTGACAGACTTTGCGCTTTTTACAGGCTGTACTTAAGCGAAAAAAAAAACGATATATATTCGGCCGTTTTAGCCATTGGTCCATAGTTTCGAAGAAATCGATTTTTAAATAATTATTATAATCTGAAAAATAACTGTATAAGAAAATATCAGTATCTTTATAATAATAATAATATGTTATAATAGAAAACTAATTTGTGCAAAGAACTGTCGACGCGAGAGAATGTCATTAAAAATCATTCGATAATTCATTATCAATTGTCATCTCCAGTTTTCGCACTGATGATAAAATATACTTGATTCTCATCAAAATTGATTTCTGAAAGAAGTTATTTCCATAATGTTAATCAAATCTGCTTTCCTCTAGATATTAGAAAAAGTTATCTTGTCTACAACAAAAATTTATTCGAAAGGTATTCACAATGCAATAAATATTTATTTTTTTCTTGTTTTCATGATTAACATCATCCCGTACAATATATGTTTATAAAACACAATTAGTTTTCTATTATTATTAATAAATCGATTAATATTAATGAAAAGAAGATTACAAACATATTTACTTGTTTCTAATCACAATTTCCAATTTCTAATTTCAGAAACTGTAACAGTTTTCATTACAATCTTATTTATGTGTTCATGTGAATAACAATGACGATGATAATAATAAATATTTCATAAATGAGTGTTTAATTATCTATAATATTAATTTATAATTTCATGAAATTTCATTACAATCAAAAAATAATTAAAATGAATAAAATTAAATTAAAATGAAATTTATAAAGATACTGATATTTTCCTATACAGTACGTTTTTCAAATTATTACAATAATTATTTAAAAAAATCGATTTCTTCGAAATTATAGGCCAATGAAACGCTCGGATACGTATCGTTTTTTTTTCGCTTAAGAACACCTGTAAAAAGCACATTAAAATCTCCGACATC